ATGGTGTAATGAGTCGCGCACAAGAGCAATACTACATTAATAATAGACAGGAATATTACATGTGCCAAATATATGGTAGTTTTTCTCTATTACAACATGTTTTACATGTCAAACTTTGGTCAACAAATGCTACCGGTTGTATTACAGTAGGCTACATGACTTAACCAGGTTAAACATTTCATGGCATTTTGTGTCAGCATATAGAGAGGCACGTTCAAACACACATTCTCCCACATTTGCTGAGTCGGGTTATTCATATATATATATATATATGAACCCACCTTTATAATACAAAACTCATTACACCATTTGGAGTATGTAACTGATCACATTATAAACTTGAACCCTTATGGGTTAAACCATGTTCATTTGTATTGGTAGCACATCTTAATAAACATGTCACAGAGTAGACCATGTTGGTTAGAAGTGCTAGATTCTCACTTGTAGTAGCCTACGTATAGGCCTACACTCTTAAAATAAAAGGTGCTTCAAAAGGTTCTTAACAGCGATGCCATAGAAGAACCATTTTTGGTTCCACAAAGAACTATTCAGTCAAAGGTTCTTTAAAGAACCATGTCTTTCTTACCTTTTTATAATCTGAAGAACCTTCTTTTGCCAGAAAGAACCTTTTGTGAAACAGAAAGGTTCTTCAGATGTTAAAGGTTCTTTATGGAACCATTTAGACAAAAGGGTTCTTCTATGGCATCGTGAAGCACCTTTATTTTTAAGAGTGTACTTGAGAAATTATCGAATTAGAAATGATATAGCCTAATTATTCTAAAAGTGCGTTACAAATAGCTGTTGGAAAGCTGTAAAATAGTAAGCAGCATCATTTGTTTGCCTAGTTTACTACACAAATATCATATTTTCTGGCAAAAATACCACAGTGATTATAATTTTCGTTATAACTGATTTTATAATAAATTAATGGGAACTCAAAGAAATGTTCATATTGCATTCATTTGTCCTACTTTATTTCTTTTTATTGGTAGCAGGACATAATACTAAGTGCTCAGTTTACTGAAGCAACAATTACTGTAGTAGGCTAAATGTTTTTTTTTTTTAAAGGTATATGAGAATATCAGATTTAATGAAAGTACATTACCTTAAGATTGCTGGTTTTAATCCCTCGCGACTCATTCCTCAAATGTGATGAACATCATATCCTCCAGACCAACCGCTCCACCGACTCTGTCAGAGATTTGACTGTTTCTATTCGTTTACTCGCAGGAGAGATTTTTTTGCAGAAATAAAATAGCTCCCGGGTTCCGGGGTTGTCGCGTCGGAAAAGAGGAAAAAATTAAATTGCGTCAACAGATTTTACGCGATGCGTGCAATTACTCAAAGCGAAACACTCATCTCAAGTGTCTTCTCAGACACAGGATGTGTCTCGTATCCTATGACCTGCCTGCACAGAAAGCACGTTATAGCTGTGCTCCGAGTCAGATGAACGGATATGAATGTCCGAAGTGCTGTCTAAGTAGGCAGCTCCTCAGCATAATAGCCTCATTGTTCACCTGCCTGTTGGGAATAAGGGTAATTATGCATAAGTACATATGCATAAGTAAACATTTAAGGTTTCTTAGGTGAAATTGTTCACAGCGCCTGGACCGTGCGCAAAGGAAAGGATGTAAAACGCGTTTCAAACGGTTACATTCCTCGAATACTTACACTTTGGTGTCCCATAACGTTTTTAAAACATTTTTGTGAGATATTTTGGATATGTCTGATAAACTTTTATTTAACAAATTTAAACTAGCATAAAATGTCCCATATGTCCCAGATTTTGGCCAAACTGTTACCGCATGCTTTCCTCAGTTACAATACACGTAACATTCCTTAAAATTGTGACAACCAAGTCATAACTTAGACACTTCATATGGCAGGACAACTGAATCTAATCTCTTTGCTCAGTTTTTAGCTTCATTTGTCAAGTTCAAACTTCAGCTCCTGGTACTGAAAGAAGATAGGTTATTGAAGTTATTGAAAGAAGACCAAACATATATTTTGTCTTGAAATCTATGGGAAATATAAGTTTATCAGTAACTACAACTCAACATTTGGTGCCAAATTAACTGGACAGATCTCAAGTTATGCTGCAACCCCTTTACCCATTCTGAAGGTTTTTTTTTTTTTTTTGATGATTTTGGTTTAATTTTGATGTTAATTTATTCTGAGAGCTAGAAAATCAGTTTTAAACTTTATGCATGTCATAGCACTAATTTACTCATGCAATTTACTGAAACCTTCAACTCCAGACATTTAAAAAAAAAAAAGCTTTATTACAAAGAGCAGGTTTTGGAAAACAGCTTTCTCTAAACAGGCTTCTATCATTCACAAACTTTACATTAAGTGTAAAAGGTTGTTAGGGTATCTACTCCTTACATCAAACACACAATATCTTACAGGTACTGATCTATGTTCATGTGCAGTAGTGTATAAAAACAGTTGTATATCTAAAATCATTTAACCAGTAGTTGTGCACATTCAGACAGGACACTCGCCTTATGTTCACACACCCAGTGTGAATGCTTGATCCAAATATATTTCTATGAAGACACACCATTGCCTTTGGTGATCAGCTCTTCCCCTTGACTTATGAAAGCCTCCGCAGACCATAAGAAGTTGGAGATGGTGACACGAGATGGCAGAATAGCACCACTGACAGGGAACAAGGGGTGCTTGGTTGGTGACATGATTGAGGGATCCTGGGATTCCATGGGCTTTTTTACCTCTATGCTTCACTTAGGAAAAAAAATATGTATAATGAGACTACTCCATTCTTCCAGTGTTCAACATAATCAGACTTAAGCATCAACCACGCAAAACAAAAAAGCAATTTTGGAAAAATGAGGCATACACACATTAAAACAACCACACAAACAAGTGTCATTAATTGTCTCAAGGACATTAATAAATAAACCAATAAAAGAACTTCTGGCCATTAGAACAGTTGTGCAGTGTTATAAAATGAGTGTGTTGATGAGGAAAAACTAAACTAAACAAAACACAAAAACACCAAACTGAGCTTCAATTTCTCTTTAGTACTACTCTAAATGCTTGTGTGAAACTGGGCAATATGTCCAGTACTCCAGATTCCTCCTCAAAACCCATTCCCGATACATTCTTCCACCTTATATCATAAGGTGCTATCTTATTTTCATGTCCAACAGCCTTCTGTTGGTCGCTCTCTTTCTGGCTCAGTGTTGTGTCTTGTGTGCTTCTGAACAGAGTCTGAGCCAAACCCAGGTCCTACACCAAATACATGTTCACCCACAAGAAGCAGAAAAGAGCAGATTGTTTGGTATGTCAGCTGGGAGCGAATGAGAGAGGCTGCTTCCTGTAATGGGTCCCTATGAGGCTGGGTGATGGACCTGCAACTGTCCTGCGCCTCCTAAAGATGGATGCAGTCGCTACTCAGTAATTACGCTGGGAGTGGCTCCTAGCACACAGCCCAACGTTTGTTTTCCATATTCAGAATAGAACATGAACTGGCCTGCCACGGAGCTGCGGAGAGCTGTGGAAATCAATGGCATTTGATTGGAATCGAAGGGGGAAAATACATTAAAGTGCCCCATACATTCATTTTCAGGTCAGTCTGAACATGTGCAAGACCCTCAAACGCAACTGGTGCCTTTGAAGCACCTAAAGAGATGGAGAGAGGAAGGACATGACCAGTCTCCCAGAGCTGCCTGGGGCTTTTATTTGTTTACAGTGCAGTTTCATACGTGTTTCTTCACCAAGTCTGAGGTTCTACACACAGCCGTACTCATACCAAACAGTCTGAGGGTCATTGTTGGGGTCGGGAGAAGCAGGTTTACTGGTGGGCTGCTCCTTGGTGGTGTAGCTTAAGTTCGCAGTGTCTGCTTTCTTCAACAGAGGCGACTCTGCCTGCTTTTGCTCCCGAGGTTCCTCCTCCAAATCCTTCAGCCTTAATGCTGATACGGCTCGCACCGGAGTCACCATGGCCACCTCGCCACGATGGGGGGCAGCTCGGGTTTGAGCAGGAGCAGAACAGACTGCTCCTGCCCTGCTGCTACCACTACCAACGTATTCCCGTTCAGCCTGCAGCGGCATAGACGAAGAGTGCACTGGAGGCGGACTAGCCAGGGACAACTCATCTCTCGGTTGAGCGAGAGACAGACGGCGGGGGTCCACAGATACGTGCCCCGGGTCTCCAGGCAGCGGCGAGGAACCAGCCAGCCTAGCAGATATCGGTCTTTCTCTGGCGACTACACCGGACCTCCTCACCACCACATCATTTTGGCTGGGAGAACTTGCCTCGGTGCGGTAACTGTCCGGCCCGCTTGAACGGAGGAGGTCTGCGGAGGCCAGGCTGAATGTACGGCTCAGGCTGGCGCTGCCGCCCACACCTCCGCGAGGACTGGACTGCTGCAAAGGAGCGGACCGCAGTCCTGTTCCTCTGTTAGGAAGGGTTTGCGATTGTGAAGGAGGTGTGGACGTCTCGGTGAGCCGAACGCTTGGTTTGACACTGTGTCCAGGTTTAGGGGCCCGACCATCTAGTTCTGGCGGAGTAGTCTTGATGGTTGGCGTGACATAATTGGTGGGGGTTTTAGCGTCATCTCGCAGAGGGACAGGTCGAGTAGATCTGGTGAAATAATCAGTCATCAGATCCTCTCGACTTCCTGTCTGCACCTGAAAGACATTTAAATCATCATACATATTTTTGCAAAAGCATGTGGTTTTAACTGTGCCCTAATTCCAATATTACAACGGAAATTACTTGCAGGGTTCCCACACCCCTTGTGATGACTAGGACCCTCTCTTCTTGTAAGGAACTCCCTTTACTATAAAAAATGCAGCTATATATTTCCATGTACAAGATCAATATTAACTGCAATAATATGAAGCCTTGTTTTTATGACAAATTACTTGCAGGGTTCCCACACCCCTTGTGATGACTAGGACCCTCTCTTCTTGTAAGGAACTCCCTTTACTATAACAAAAAATGCAGCTATATATTTCCATGTATAAGATCAATATTAACTGCAATAATATGAAGCCTTGTTTTTATGACTTTTCCATTGTCATTATACAAAAGTTAAAATCTTATATATTTGAAAAATATTAGGAACAATTACTAAATGTTTAATTAAAATATTATGAAAATTTTATAGAAAATATTTACTTTATTCCAATGCAGGAGATACAACTTAATGTTGGACATATGCCTATATAAAACAAAAAGATTCTCACTGTTAAAGGCATCATATGATGTTGCTAAAAAGAACATTATTTTGTGTATTTGGTGTAATGAAATGTGTTTATGCGGTTTAAGGTTCAAAAAACACAATATTTTCCACATACTGTACATTATTGTTTCTCCTCTATGCCCCGCCTTTCTGAAACGCATCGATTTTTACAAAGCTCATCGGTCTGAAAAGCAAGGTGTGCTCTGATTGGCCAGCTATCCAGTGCGTTGTGATTGGCTGAATACCTCAAGCGTGTGACGGAAATGTTACGCCCCTTACCATACTGCGCCTTCTTTCTTTGCGTGAACATTTGGGCGGCGTTATGCAAATCTTCCCACATCGTGACGTAGACATGTGGGGCGTGTTAGAACGAGCCGTTTTAGGTAGGCTTGGTTGACTCTTAACTTTTATCTCTCTGGATTTGAGACTTTAGTCTTTGCAACTTTACAGATCTTCTTTATGCACCAAGAGCTTGTAACACTCCAAAGAGAAAGGAAACATTTAAATCGCATCATATGACCCCTTTAAAACTAAGGGCTAACTGAATAATTAATTGTTATTTGAATAAAATAACTGCAATTAAAGTCATGACTTAAATATGACAGTAAATAATAGTCTGGTTTCACAGACAGGGCTTAGACTTAGCCAGGATTAGGCCATAGTTCAATTAGGACATTTAAGTAATTTTTATTAACATGCCTTAGAAAAAACATTACTGGTGTGCAACTTGAGACAAAACAAAGGCACTGATATATTTTAACATCAGTCAGTGCAATTTTCTTTCAGCTGAAACAACTCAGACTTACATTTTAGTTTGGGACTAGGCTTAAGCCTTGTCTGTGAAACCGGGGGTAAGTGTATAAAAATGAAAAAATGTGTTAAAAAAAAGTTTACAAATATTTAACTAAATTAAATTTAATCCTAAATTTCATAAACTTTGTAAATTCTTAAGAACTAATTTTTTTTTTTTCCACTGAACCCCCAAATATTCCCTATTGCTAGAAATCATTGTTTTAAAATGATTTTTTTCTCCCAGACTTGTTCATTACTATGGGAATCCTGTGCATGCATTTCTTGTAATTTGCTCCATGTCTTACAACAGAAACACATTAAAA